TGTGCCTTAAAAAATTCATAACAAGCGTAAGAGTTGGCAATATTTTTCAAATTTTAAGCACATGAAATAAAAGATAAGCCCTAAAAGTAGGCAAATTATTTAAAATTTAACATATAAGCAATAACTGAGGCCTTAAAATTGTCCAAAGTGCACCTAAAAACTCAATATAATCCTAAAACTAGGACATAAATTTCAAATTTAACCTTTAGTAATAAAAAATAAATCCGAAAAGTATGCAACACATTTAAAATTTAACATATAAGCAATATCAGAAGCCTTAAAATGGTCACAAAAACTGGAGAGTTCTCTCATATTTCCTTATTTCTATACATTTCTATATATTTCAGTACTATGCTGACCTTACAACCGTGAAAAGTTTCTTTTTAAATAATTTTTCCTTATAAAAGTCACTTTTTTTTTAACTTGCGCTGTACTTTTGAATTTGCTTAAGCGCTGCAAAATGCATTAAAATGTGTTTCTTCTGTCAAAAAATTTGCTTACATTTATTTTTACCTTCTCACCCGCTCGTCTGCGCCTTTTGTTTGAGTCTTATTTCACACTCTTTGTGCAGCAAAGCGAAATGCATTTATTTACAGCAGAAAAGGCCCATAAGTTGCATGAAATGGTAGTGAAAAAATATCAAAAGCGTATTAAAATACAATGCCTGGAAAATAATAACAGCAACACATGCAAAAAGGCGTCTAAACAATTGAATGAGTGCAACAGCGTGTGCTGTAAAACGTCTGGCTTTCGCGAGAAATCGTGAGAGGGCAACAAAAAAGTAGAATTTTTTCTTTAAATATGATTACAAAATATTCAATTTTAATCGTTAATAACTTTAAGGACATTCCAGAAATAGCTTTAATGAAAAAATAATTTTTTGGCGACTTAAAGAGTTTTACTTAAAATTTTGCGTTCAGAATTTAAAATCCAAGGAAGAATTTTGGCTTTAAATTTTAAAAATTTTGCCTTTTTTTGCTTATTTTAGAATTTGTATGAAGGTTGTAAGGTTTTGCCAGTAGTAAAGTTGAAATTTTTCTTATATAAACGCGATTTTAATCGACCAGTTTGTATGGCAGTATTGTTCGATATGAAAAATTTCTTCGGAGATTGTACCTCTCTCTTCAGAAAATGATCTCTGACAAATTTATTGAAGATATCTCTACTAATAAAAGAGTTTCCCTTACAAGCAGTATAGTTTGATGACTCAGTGTGTATGGCAGCTATATGTTATAGTTGTTCGATACGAAATATTTCTTCATAGATTGTACCCCGCTCTTCAAAACTAAGTCAAGTAAAATTTCATGAGAATATCTTGACAACTAATTTAGTTTTCCATACAAAGACTGAATTTTGATCGTTCAGTTTGTATGGCAGCTATATGCTATAGTAATCCGATATGAAACAAAATCTCGTCAAATGTAACCCCCACCTAAAAAATAATCCTTCCCAAATTTCGTGTAGATATCTTGTCAAATAAAAAAGTTGTCCATACAAAGATTGGATTTTGATCGTTCAATTTGTATGGCAGCTCCAGGCTATACCGTCCGATAGAAGCGGTTCCGCTAAGTAAACAGTCTCTTCGGCAGAAAAGCCCGCATTTAGGTAGATCTCAAGAATTGCATGGCTATTTTTGATAGTCTCTGTGGTTTCAAATTTGGTGGAAATTTTAACCTTGTTCAGGATATACAAATGTTATAACAATAGTTGGATATGATCGAAGGACTATACAAAATATTGATTGGTAATGAATAAATATTGAATTTATATTAAAAAGAAATAAAATTTTAATTTACTTTCTAATTTTCAGTAGCTTTCTTCAATCCAATAACTTGCAGTTTGTTTAGAGCCCTAAAATTCCGGCTTGTGAAGTAAGGAAGTGAGGTGATTGCTACACAATGCTAACCGCTAACTGGTTTTGAGCTTGAAATACTATGTTTAGAAGCAATCAAAACCCAACAAGTAGTACACAGAAAAGAGAGAAGAAGAACACAATACCAAATACTGAAATAAGAGGAGCCTGGATTAGCGAGTATCCCACACAAGCTGTTAAACTACTGTCGTCTGGCATATACGCATAACTCTTATGCTTATGCATAAGGGCTTATGCCCGAAGTCAACCACTAGTCCCATACATGCTCTGGGTCCACAGCGTGGAGTTCATAAAATTAGCATTGTCATGCGACACGCGGCAGCTCCGCTCCTGCAGCAGCATCTTCTGTCAAACGCCACCTACACCAGCACAAACAAACTGTATAGCAACAGCAATAGGCGCCGACACTGTCAACCACCTGCCAACAGCCAAAAGTGACAAAGTCTGACGTTCTCGAATACACACGCTCGTCATTAGCTTTGACTTTGGCGCGCTGGTGTTGCTGTTGTTGACATTGTTGGCATTTGTCGTTACAAACTTAATTAATGTTATGCTTCTAAGCACTTGACTGGCAAAACAACAGCAAAAATGAGGAGAAGACAAGAACCAGAGCGCCGCTGAGCGCTACACCTGTCAGCGACTGACAGTTGGTTGTTTGGCTGGTTGACTGCCTTGGTTTGTGAGTGTTAACGGGATTATGCGTGCGCTATGCTTGTTTTTTATACGCCACACTCATCAGCACTCACTCGCTCTCTCGGGTTTTTCGCTTGCGCTCTGCCGTTTGACACCGCGCTGCTGCAAGCTGTCAAATTCAGCTGACGTTTGGTGTTTTTCAACGCTCATTGTCAACTCGTTTGCTGCTCAAGGCAGTTATTGTTGTTGTTGCTTTGTTTGGCATGTGCTTACAAGTATGTATGTTTGTCATTTAGCATATATTAAGGCGTTGTAGACGCCTCGTTGACCTTTCCTGTCTTCAGGATTTGTTCAAATCACTTTATTTCGCTTATCCGTGCTGCAATTTTCAATGCAAAAATTCATACATTTATGTATACACATGTGTCTGTGTACCAACACATTCATATATGGCATATAAACTCATTCTAAGCATATAAACTCCAGCTAAACATGTGTGAAAACTGCAACGGCAGCATTATACTCGGTTCTCTTTCCAATTCGCCTCCTCATCATTGTACAAACACACACTTTTGTGCGCTACTGTAGCTTCTGCGAGCGCTGCTGCTGCTGCTGCCAATGTAATTTGATTTGTCATCGCAAATTAATGTCAACAATGGCGTATCAATCACAAAATGTTTGGAACACTTCTAAATGTGGCTTAATGATGTTGAGAGCGCATTGGTGTGGTCTGGGACTTTGCTAAATGCTGTAAAATTATTATAGGAATTTTTCTTTAGGATGAATGCGATTATATGCAGAAGAAGCGGAGAAGTTGACTTTAGTATAAAGCTTTCAGGTGAACTCGAGTAAAGACTCTTTTACTGAGCTGGAAGTAGGATCAAAATCGAAGAAAGTTGGATCTCGATATTTATTTATTCCGTAGTGTGAATTTATTCCGTAGTGTGAATAGATAATTTGTAAAAGTCTAGTGAGCCCAGGTTGAACTCCAAAAAACTGGTTTGCAAAATTTTTACCTTTCTTTAAAGTTTAACAGTATTTGAATTGCTAATTTTTAGAAGTAGGTGCTAAAAAAGAATTGGTTTCTGCTTATTCGAACGGTTCCGGTTTCAGAAATTCCCACAACACATATTTATATATTTGATAGTTTGAGTCAGTCTTTCCTTGGCTTCTAAGCAATCCGTATACAACACCATCAAGCTCCATATTTTCCACAATTGAAGCTTGTATTTACTACTTCAATCTTATTAACTCTCAAAACTCCTCTATAACCACTTCCAAGCAAATATCTACATATAAAGAATTTATGTTTACAGCGCTTCGCATAACCAGCCAAAATTCTCTAGCACACTTTGGAGCGCAAAGTTTATGTGCGAAATTTGCTTGTTTGGCCTCTTAATTTGCACAACTCAATGTCTATTTGTCTTCTCGTCTTGACTTAATAAAGACGTTGCAATTGCATTTGCCAGCAGGAGTGCTTGGGAATCACTGTTGCCTACCTTTAGGCGCACAATAAGCATGTAGTTGTATATTATTGTAATTAACCTGCTGGCAGACGTTCATTCGGTACGCTGCGAAATTAAATAGCACAAGGTAGTTTTTGTTGCAAAGAAACGAAGTAGGAATGTGTTGCGAGCTTCTTTATAATGTTATGAAAGCATATACTGTAATTTATTAAAGCTGGTGAGTAGGCAGCCGAAGTAACAGCTTAAGCGTATTTGGTTTGTTGCAAGGCTAAAAAGCAAGTATTTTCCTTTTGAGTACTTAATTAGTTTGATTGACAGAATGCAGACACATTGAAGTTTGAAAATAAAAATTCCAAAATAAAAAAAAGAAGAATTAAAACTTTTTTTAAAAACAATGTTCAAATTGAAAAATTGTTTTTTTCTTAAAATGAAAAAATTTGTAAAAAAATTATGAAAATAAAAATATTAAAAATATTTTTGTTAGAAAAAAGTTTTGTAAAAACACATTAAAGGTTTTTGTTAAAATAATTGCGACGAAAAGCTTGTTTGTATGCTTTTCGCTGAAAAAAAAAAAATTAACAAAAGCTCAAAAATTTTCAAAAAAAAAATTCAAAAACTTTAAAAAATTGTGAAAAAAATTCAATAAATTGTTGTTTCTATGTTTTTGCCTTTAAAAATGCTAAAAAATTGCGATAAAGTTTTAAAAAATTTCAATTTTGGCTTTAAAACTTAAAAAAAAGTTCAAAAACTTTAAAAATATTGTGAAAGAAATTCAATAAGGACGTTTGTTTGTATGTTTTTAGCTAAAAGATGTTAAAAAAAAAAATTCAAAAACTTACAAAGTATTTCAAAAATTTCAAATATTTTCTAATATTAAAAAATTTTCAAAAAAATCTTAAAAACATTTTTTTTTAGCATTTTTTGTATAATAACAAAATTTATTATTGATATACATATGTATATATATTTTGTACCACTAATTTATTTTCAAATCATTTAAAACACTGTTTTCTTTATCTTTTTTTCAGATCAAGCAAATTACAGTGCGTCTTCTTAAACCATTAATCCGACGCGTTTGTGTGTGCATGAAAATTTTTTGAATTGCCAATACTGTCAATGTGAGTTTGTGCTATAATTTTTGTGCTATAAAAATTTCATTGATGTGCTGAAATTCTAACAGATGAAAATATGAATTACCAAAAAGGTAAGTGAAATTTAAATAAATATGTTGACCAAAAATTTGTATATTAATAACTGAAACATAATGCTGAAAATGTTCACGAATTATTTCAAATCTCATGTAACAAACTTAGAAAAGTACTCGAAGAGCGTTAAGACTAACAAAAAGTGCGTCTCTCAAACAAAACTAAAACGTTAAAATTCAAATTCAAATGTAATTGAATGGCGAAAAAACAAATTGGGCTTTTACACTCTTACAAGAGCTCATTAAACGTCATCATAACCTAAAAATAATGTCTAATGCATTTAAAAAGCTTTCACAAGTTTAGCTTCATAGTGAAAATTTCATAACGTCACCAAAATAAAAAAATTTGCATTCATTAATGCAGCCAAGTAAAATTAAGCTGAACAGCTGAAGAGCTTTTTCCCCAATTTAGCAAAAGCTTTTTTACTATCTCGAACATTAATGAAGTTGTCATTGAAAATTAGGAAACTTAAAGAAATTTCAAATGATTTCAAAATATTCATACTTTATCATATAGTTTAAAGATAATAAAATTTTCAAAAAGCTTTGCTATAATTTTTTTTTTCACTTAGTGAAAGTGTTTTTCACGAAATTTACCATTTTATTCCTTTATAACAAAAAAGCTTTCAGGAAGCTTTCCAGGTAAAATCCTTTTTTTATCAGATGATGTAATTTATTGAGTTTCTAACAAAGCTTTTCGGAAGCTTTTCGGGTGAAAGCTTTTGATATTTATTAAGTGAAATGAAGCTTTTTGAGTTTTAGCGATAGTGGCTTCCAATTCTCTTATATCACTGAAAGTATTCACTTATTGCCTTTTTAACTAAAAGCTTTTAGGAAGCTTTGAAAGAGAAAGCTTTTGATATTTATTAAGCAAAATAAAGCCTTTTGAGCTTTAGTGATAGTGGTTTCCAAATCACTCATTTCAATGAAAACTTTCACTTATTGCGTTTAGGACAAAAAGCTTACCTCACCTGGTGGAAGCCTTCCTATTTATTAATGAACCCAGAATTTTGAGCTTTAGTGATAATGTTTTGCTATTTCAGGGGGCTCTTGTGGAAACCTAAAAAAGCTATGTATCGAAAGTGAAAGTTTATCACAAATATTAAGCGAAGGAAGACTTTTTGAGCTTTAACAATCAATTTTTCAAGTGTTTTGAAATTTCAGGAGGCTCTTTTATTAGTAGTCTCGAAAGTTATATAACGATAGTGAAAGCTTTTTCACAAGTATTAAAGGGAGGGTTTTTGTAAGTTGCCACAGGTATGTGTACGATTTTCGAAAAAAATTTTAGTGAAAGCTAGTGATACATTTCAATAAATGTAATATTTAATGCATTTTCTGTTGAACTAGTAATACGACAAAATTAACAAGTGATTCTAGTAAAATTAATTAATAATTTCATTATAAAAATATCAATGAAAACTAAGCTCAATTTTAACAAAAATTTCGTGTTTTTGACTACAAATTCTATAACCTTTTTCACCTCTAATCTATATGCAAAATATATGGTCAATTTGTGCCACAACTTATGCTGCATTTATTAAATTCTGCAACAACCTTGCACTCACACTCACACTCACACGCATAAGTAATTGCTGCAGTGTTGCGCTTTTAGTCGAATTTAATTCAAACAAAATATTTTTATTGCAAATTTTTATTATTTACATTGCATTTTAATATTTTCCGCACACCAACTGGCTGGTCAATTTACAGTCTGTCACATTTGACTGCAACTGCAAATATGGCGCCAGGCAAAAAAATAAAGATTATCAAGTCTGCACTCGCGCTAGTTTAAAGCGCAAAGCACTTTTCGATGACGAAATCTCATGTGAAATCACTGAAACGCAATACGACGCCATGACAACAACAATTACAATGGCAAATAGTACATGTAACTGCACATGTACACGCGCACACACATACATGAACAAAAGCCAATCGCTTGTGATGGCCAATATGGCGTAACGAATTAATATGTCAATATAAGTGGCCGACCCCAACCAGACGTAAGCAAACACACACAGCCGCACAGGTCAAGTACAATGAGCACCGAGGGTATTGTAAGCGTGTGTGTATGTGTGTGGTTGTGGAAAAAGCGGCAAAAGTGTGAAAAAACGCTGGAAAAGTCGCTGGCGAACAGATTGCGCTTTGTCGCACAACTGCATTTATTTATTGTTTTTCTGCCAGTTCCGGCGCACACACACATGCAAACTATATTTATTAAGCATTTATTCATACACGAGCGCAGTTGTGCGCGTGTGCGTGTGCATTTTAATATTTATTGTTTTTCCTTAATTTTTGCAACTTGTTTATTTATGATTTTGCATTGATTCGCTGCGCACACATTGTTGTTGTACTAGCTGTGTTTGTTGTTGTTTATTTTGCGTGTAAAATAATATTTTCACGGTTCAAGGTTTCCAATTCGGCGGCGCTTTGCACAAACAGCCAAATTATGGACTTCAACGACAACTGGCGCGTATTTTTTCAAGCGTTGCCACTTTTTTAGACACAACAATTATGTAGGCGGCCGTGAAAGGCACTTTTTGTTTAAGGCGTACAGCTTTAGTTGCTAAAAAAGATAATTACAAAGCGAAATTTTGCTTAAAAAGAAATGTAAATTCAAAAAAATTTTTTGGCGTTTATAATTTAACAATAATTTCGTATGCACTGGAGCTTTGTAACGCGGAAATAATGATTGTAGTTTTCAGTCAAAATAATAAACACAAAAGAAGCTTACATTCAAAAGCTTGAATTTGAACGTCAAATTTATATGGCAGCTTTATGATATAGAAGTCAAATTTGAACAAATCTTTCGCAGATTATACTGTTGCTTTAGACAGTAGTATATATCCAATTTTGAGAAAATATCTTTTCAAATAAAAAAGTTTTCCCATATGAAGGCTTGAATTTGATCGGTAAGTTTGTATGGCAGCTATATGCTATGGTGGTCCGATCCGAACAATTACTTTAGAGAATATAGCCCTAACTTGATCAATAATTCACGCCAAATTTCTTGAAGATTTCTCTTCAAATGAAAATGGTTTCCTAACAAGAACTTAATTTTTCGTTGTCGATTTGTATGGTAGCTGTATGTTACAGTGGTCTGATCCGAAAGCTATGTTCGAATATTATAGCAAACCCTTAAGCAATAACCTATACAAAATTTCTTAAAGATAGGTCTTCAACAAAAAAAATTTCCGTACACAAGCTTAATTTTGCTTGGTAAGTTTGTATGGCAGCTATGCATGTGTTGTAGTGGTTCGATTTTGCAGGTGCCGATAAATGAGCAGCTTCTTGGGAAAACAATTTCTGAAGAAAAGTTATTATTAGTTCACACAAATGAGATAAAATTTCTCAGAACGCCATTCACTTGGCAGTGGCCAGAAACGTTTATTTCATATATATGGCTCAAGCAGCTCACGACTTCCGGTCCTAGACCAAGTATGCTCTGTGTAGCCAGACACATCCGTTTGAAGGAGAACGAAAGTGAAAAGCCAAAACATTTCTACCGTGGGTGTTGGGCGCTGGGCTTCGGACCCGCCACGTAAATCCCTAAACTAAACAATAAAATATGCTGACATTTTTACCAGCAAGGAAAATAATAAAAACTTTTACATATTTTTCAGGCTTTCCAATGCAATTTGAGTGAAATGTGAAAGATTTATTGCTATATACATTTTTTTTATGGCTAAATGTTGAAGTTAACAAATTTAACATGGTTTCGCAGTTGCGCCATCTAGCGGTGGAACACAATTAATGTCAAAGAGACACTTTTGTAAACGTAATACTCTTCTAATAGCCCGAAGTTCACGTTATTACTCTTTCACTCCGTGCTTTTTGTCTCTCTCTCAGTTTTTTCTTTATTTTCTTTCTCAAATTATAACTTTTGTAGGTTTATTTGGTAAAAAATGGTGTTCTTCTAACACTCTGAACTACTCGTACTTCCTCTTTCTCCTGTTGCTTTTTTTCCTGTATATCGCTCTCCCTTCCACTTGATGCTTTTCTTTCTCCTCAAGTTTTTTTCTCTATTTAGTTCACGTTCCTTCTTTTCACATATTGTTTTTCCACTCTCTCTCCCTCTCGCTCTCTCATTCAATGCTTTTCTCTATTTTATCTCTGAAATTATAACTTATGTCGGTTTATTTGTTAAAAGGCAAAGAAAAGAAGTTTAAGAAAAAAGAAACTCATTCCATCTCTCTTCTCTCTTATTTTAGCAATACTTTTCTGATTCTTAAACGTTTCCAATTAGTTGGGAAATGTTGCGTTGGCTTATTAGTTTTTCGATAACTGAACTTATAATCATAAAGCAAGCCTATAATTTTGTAAGAGATTATTATAAATCTCCAATAATTTCCTGCTGGACCTTAACACACCCAACCAGTAATTCGTCCCCTACAAACGTTTCCGGTTACTCGCTTTTTACCCGATTTATAACCGATTTATAGCCGATTTATACCCACTTTATACCAGTACCGTTGACTACACGCTTGCAATATTTTTCCAGCCAACGTTGCTGTTGTTGCATTTTGCATGTTGCATGTACGGCAAAATTGTAAAATCTCCGAATGCCCACGCACACTATGCAGTGGTTTCAATTAACGTATAAATTAAAATTAACATGTGCGAACACACATTTTCAATGTAAAATACACACACACGCACAATTTTATCGTTTTTGGAACAAACGAGCGCATCGTCCACTACATAATAGCATTTGCCAACAGCTGAGCCCGAAACTGGACGCACGAGTCCGTCCAATAGAGCGCTCACACCATGCCAATGTTGTGCATTAACCAGCTCTTCCGGGCTAACGGTCACACGTGCAACCGGCAACGCATGCATTCGCCTAACCTCTTTGTGGCGATCCCCTGTAATGGCAGTAATTTTAAGCCATACTCCGTGTGTTGCACGCATTTTTCGAGCGATGTATTAAATTGGTTTGTGCATTCGCTAAATTTGACTGACCATTGGCTCGTTACGCCTGTACTCGGCGCCTGTATTGG